TGGCAGCTCATCGATTTGAGGTTCAACTCAGTACACCTCGAGGTTCACTGCTTGAGAAGTCTTTCATTTGGAGAACTGCGTGTATCTGGAGTAGACTACCTGAGAACGTTTTTCCAAATGAATTTAATCTCCAGCGATTCAAATTCAAGGTGAATCGCTACTTTCGCACTACACCGCTCTAAGAGCGCCTCAAGGATTTTTCTGTAGTGCTTGTGTTCTGTCGTTAGAAAAATGAAAACATCGGAGGACACAGCGCCAACTTATTGAAAAATTAAGGTAGGCAAAGAAATTCCTGAAATCTGATAAAAAACTGGGTAAACTCCTCATTATGATTTTTTTTCTCGACTTTGTCTCGCATGACTTCGTATCGAAACAGCATCATGAACAATACTTTTGTTCTTGTTCATGTAAGCTGTCTAGATGACGTTCATCATTACTATAATCTTGATCTTTTCTCACAACGGGTAATGGTTGCATACAAAAGAAGTGTGGAAAATGGACTATTGGAAAACGATGTAATCAGTGGTAATTTAATTCAGTGGGATGGTTTCTCAAGCAAGCAGTATTGCCAATCATATGACACTAAAAGTGACCGATTGAAAGAGTTCAGTTGTTATTTTTTGTTGATAAGTTATATAAGAGGAAGAGTATGTAACCACAGATTTGTGCTAATAGGGACATATTATGTCAGTCTGAAATTATGTCTTATATATTCTAGTTCATGAAAGTCAACTGAGCAGCAAACATAATAAAGTAAGCTAATAGAAAACCTCTCACAAAGAAACCCAATTTTCGAATTGGAAATGAAAACAGAGCGCTAATGTAATTTTGAATTGATTTTCATCTCAACACTAAAACGTTGGGCCGTTTCGCTCTACTTCCGACAGTTAGAGGCCTGTAAACAGGACAAATAATCCTATATGCAGCCATTTTCCATGCTTCGGTAACTCTATTACTACCATAATGTGTTTTGAAAACTGAATAATCAACAGTTTTGTTGGATTATAATGTGGCTATTGTTTTGTTTTCGCAGGGTGAGTCAAACGACAATGACCACATTTTCCATTATGAATCATTTAGGAGATTTAAATCAAATTCTATTCACATATTATCATCAAAATCATCAGAGCTAAACTGTATAAACATGTAATGAATGATGCTGGAAAAGACATAACATTTTTTTATATTGCCCTAGAAGGGAGAAAAATTTACTATCAGCTATCTAACATTTTTTAGCTCAACAAAAGGAAGAAAGTACATTTCGCATATAATTTTCATTTTCATTGATGAATAACTTGTTCTACATGTCTATTGTTCCTAGCGCCGATAAATAATTGAAGTGCAAATGTTATCATGGCATATCGTGGGGTGAGTACTACGACTAGATAACTACAAATTTGGCAAAATATGGATAACTGCAAAAAAAATTCCATTAGGTTACGTGAACAACATACTACAACTGGGTATAGTCGAAGTAAACGATATTGTGCATACTTAAAGTTGTCGGCACTCTCAAAGGCCAAAAAAACCAATATATAAAAATGAACCGGCTGCGAAATAGTCCACGTGGACGTGTTGGATAATTTTCACTAACCGACTTTTATGATTGGTTGAAAAGTCATGAAATTAAATTCGAAGTCATGTTACGGTGACAAATAGAAATCGTAAATGCGGCCTTGGTTATCGCCGTCGTGTTCAGTTCAGGAACGATTTGAGTGTTGAAATTCGATATTGGTGCAGTTATAATAAATAAATTTTTTTCTTATCTGTTTAAAATGTGGCGTCCTTGGACAAGTGCTAATATTAATAACGAGTGTGATAACAACGTGTAATGATTCTAAGAGCGATGGTGAACAATGCGAAAAAAAGATACCAGTGAATAAGATTCGAATGCATTCGAATATTGAAACACAGAGAGTATGTTTCAATGTATATAAGAATCTACATCTCAAGTTTGGTTTCGAGGGTAACAAACTATTACAAGCAACATCTGATTTGACCGAAATTCCTTCCTCAACTGTACGTAAAATAGTCAAAAACAAACCTCATGAACACAAGACGCGATGTTATACAGGCTTACCAAAACCTTTAGATATTCATCTAATGAAATCATTGAAAAAAACAATATACGACAGTTACAAAAGGAATGAGAATCCTTAAATCATAAGGAAGAAATTGAACACTTCCTGCCATAACGTGAACTGCTGTGACAAAACTGTTCAGAATTGGAAAGAGAAACTAGGATGTAGATTTAAAATAATAAACAAACGTCAAGCAGTTATGGAAAGTAGAATAGTGGAATTGCGTAACAAATACTTAGAACTAGCCTTATTCTCTGAATTTAATATAAAAAAACAAAAACATTCTTCCATAAAATATTTGAACAGTATCAACATGAAAACTATTTTTAGTGCTGAATAAACAAAATTCACAAATGGTAGTAAAATAACATTTAATCAATTCATATACTATCAAAATCGTGAAAAATCATCAATTTGAGTTTTCCCCTAAACAACTGATCAAGATAAAGAGAAATATTTGCTCAATGACCAGGTGGAATTCTCAACTTAATTTCTCTCCATGCATTAGTCTCACCGCATTCGCGCACTTGAAACGGACTCTTTTGAGGGCAAGAGAATCATAAATGAAAACTATATGAAACATTTTATATACTGTGGTATATGACTCTATTATGATAAATACGTTGATAGATCAATATTCGAAATGTTCTTAGCTATTTTGGCGAAAATTGTTAGATTTTCAAGAGACTGGATTACTGTCTCGTTAAATTTTGCCTTTCAAACGACTTAAGTTTGATTTTCTCAGATAATTTGGACTGGGATATCTGCGATAATATTTCCATAAAAATTTATAAATGCACCTCTATCCTTAACTTATAGTTTCCTGAATATTATCCGCGAAACAAGCTGGAAAAAAATATACCTATACCAGCAATCAATATCCGAAAACACGTCCATCAGCGTAGGGTAATTTCCAACGTTATTACTGTTTTCGGCTAAATGTGAATATTTATTATCGAAAACTCTAAATAGCCAACCGGGCTAGAGGTACGCGAGCTATATATATTAATCGCTTTCAGTCCTTATGACGAAAAATGCGATATTTACTCAGAAATATATATGCGAATTCCACTTAGTACAATATGGATTTTTCCAGTTTAATTTAACTTGTCCTTATCTCCAAGCCCCAATCGTAAAATTTCTCTCATTTAGATAGTGCCGGCTTTCCGCATTCGTCATTTAAATTCCCATTTTGAGCTCCTTTGTTTCATTTTCAACAGTCATAAAGCGAAAAGTTTTCAAACTTATTACCATAAAATGGTGTTAAAGGTTAGATTTATAGGCCTCAAAAACATTAACTGTGAAGTTAGACAACAGAAATATTTCAAGGGTGACACTTTTCGTAAGTTTTCTGTAGCCACACGACACTTTCAAATGAATGGCTTGAGCTAGCTCGTTTATTTTTTATGATGACAGCAATTATGAAATTATTTGAATTGAAACTAGTAGAAACCTCACGAAAATGTTGACTGTTAACTCTTGACTGGTGAATATTTGTTTCACTGCAGATCTTTAAATTAAGAAATTGATGGAACAGTTAGTTTGTGTTACACTTGAAGTTCGTTCAGAAAAATAATCTCTATTAAATTTTCGCTCGTCTAATTTAAATAGTGTTAGAAAGAAAGGAAGCAATTTAGTCTCCCCCATTAAGATTTTTATTACGTCCAACAGAGCCTCAACACGCTTCAATTTGCATTATACGTAATGAGTCCCCCTTCTCTCTATGAACATCCTTATAAACAATTCGACATTACCAATCATAGGACCTTCAAATAATCACATTAACTTTGTCCATACGGAAGCATACAACCATCCTGATGAAACGTAGGGTGCAAAATGACATTTTGTCGAAGTATGCGTGAAATAAATTAAAATAGAAAGGAAATTAGAAAAATAAACTGTTAGGAAATACAATAAAGATATCAAAGCCAACAACAATTGAGATTCTTTCGTGGTTGAATACTTCATTCTTCAGTAAGCGTGCGGCACCCTTAAATTTCCATTTGAATCAGTGAATGATGTTTGGTTGGTCAGTACAGACAACTTTTCTTGATTTTATCATCTCAACTCTGGGTGATTCTTCTCTATTTTACCATACTCTATTTTAAATACTTTGGAGTATTTCCTTCTGACAAAATTACATTATTATCCTCTTCTAAAATGTTACTCATGGCAGCGAAAGAATGAAACTTGATTTCAAAGTTATTATCCTGATGCCATTTCCATTGATCAATAATATCAGCTAATCACCAGGTGTCATTATTTGTCATAATCAAAAGATTTAAATATCGTCCTTTAATAATCATATATTATGAATATTTGGAACTTCATTTCAGTGTATCATGCCGTAGGTCCTGATGTTTTTGATAAAAATCCAATTTAGGGAAATTCAATTTGAAGTGTTTCTAATATCAATTATAGAATATTAAATATCTAACAGTAAATTTTGACCAGCTGAAACAGAAGAGTTTCAAACCAGACAGACACCGTTCTGAGAGCGCCTTAAGGATTTCCTGTAGTGTTTTGTCCTTAGAATAACTCTTAGAAGAGAACTCATTCATTTATTCAACTTGAAGAAGGTTTGCCATTTCACTTAAGACACGTTCAATGAGGTATATTTGAAATAAATATTATAGACAATTAAAAAATTTATAATTTTATTCGTTTCTTACAAACCAGATGTTTTACCGCATTCATCTCTAACATATGGCAAACAAATTCAAAAACTATCAATTTCGAATCTGAAATATCACGAAATTCCTTTAGGCGTTGACATCTAATATATCCCTAATTTGGGAATGTTGAGAATACTGTTTTGTAAATTTCATTAAAATTACTATTTTGTTTTTCAATGTGATATCCTGTAGAATGTAAGATGATTCGATAATAGGAGTTATCTAAAACTATGTTTGTTTTCAGTTGAAAGAAAAAGCTGTAGATTTTCTGGTACGTAAAATTTTTTTTTACTTATTACTTTTTAATAGTAGTTGTGGAATTTTGTAAATAATCATAGTTTTAGATATTCAAAAACAGTTTGGTACTAGCTAGTATTCTGTTATTCTATACATTCGTATGAAGCGGGCTGTTGAATTTTTCAATCAAATCTACAAAACAAAACAACTGTTTTTTGTTACTGAACCTAGGATATCCAATATTCAAGTAGTTATTAATATTATTCTGAACAACAGATGAGTAGATTTCAAAATCGCCAGGGTATTGTGAAATAAACTTGCTCAGCTGAATACACAGAATGTCAATTGTGGTAACAGTTTGAATGCACCCTGTAGAGCAATACTAAAGTGAATTCGAATTCGTGAAGTATTTGAGTAAGTTTGCATTTTTGAACACATTATTTACATAAAAACCGTTACAATTTTTTTAAATCTCCTCGTATATTTGGTGTTTGGTTGAAGTTGAATAGTATCTAATGAGAAATATAAACTGACAGAAAAATTCGACCAAAATATTCACATCAGTTGATGAGAAGCTGAATAAAGTGAAAATGGTATCTTGATTAACGTAACCCAAAATGAAAATGAATTGGGAATATCAAGCATAGGTAAAAAAGTTAAATAGGGCGATTTATAAAGCTGGAATGAGTGTTGATAATGATAAATAAATTGACCCATACCTACTTATTGAAAGGCCGATAACATACGTGTATTTAAGTAATTCTTTATTGTGAAATTTTCACTGAGTAGTATGAGAAAGCTTTTGTATAGTGAAACACGTATTGTAGTTTTGTAAAGTTTCCAGGGAAGATCTTACATTGAAGTGTTACTTGAATAAGTTATGGAGTTTAGAATAAAAAAAGAGGTTTCATTCCAAATAACGGTTTCCCTGCTGCCAATGATCATCTGCTGCTCAGTTATCAGGAATATTGAAAATCATTGATAAATTGTCATTCCTTATGAATTTTGAATACTTCAACACTTTAGGAGATGGTCAATATATTTTTCGCAAGCAACAACCAATAACTGATCTTTTTCCATGTAACATATCTTTGGACTGAGGGTTTCCACTGTTTTTGAGAAAGACAAGCTCCAGAATATTTTGTTTAATCCGTTATTCACATTGCCATTATCGTAGTTTCTGATGTTATTGAGATATTTTTTCAATTCCTTTGCGATCTGGCACACATCAAAGTTACTGGATTTATCTCTGCCAGGTGTCTTAGGAAGGTTTTGCATTTTACGTCAGTTTGGACCCCAAGCAAATCACTTCAGAGATTTTAGCGCTGCTTGGCTGGCTGATGATGAGTACCTCTTTCCACAGACTCGCATTACACGTCTCTATAACATGCAATTCTATCTGCTGATGTTCTTGAGGAGGAAGCGAATAATCTTTTCTCTGGACTGAAAAACTCACAGTATTCATGAAAGACATGTTTACTAACTCAAGTATCACTTCATTGTGGTACTTTGTGTGGTACACTGTGGTATCTAATGAATGACCAATAATTTTATCTGAGTTCTGGTATAAGCTGATAACAAATTCAATTATTAGGAAATAAATTTCAATCTCATTTAAATGGACATGTAATGAAAGAAAATCACTCGAGTTTTCGCATCAACTAATTACCAATTTCTACATTCGAAAACAAATTCATTAATGGAGAATCATTCTATTCTATTGTTTATTCAATAAATATTCAGTATTTTTAAATCTATTGATTTTTAAGCATTCCAAAAGATTGAGTTTCAAATCTTCCTCTTCCAAAAGTAACACGTCAGTCGTGACTAAACTCAAGCTTCTCTATCAAGGGGTGGTTTGCAAATCAGAAATTGGTCTTCATTTCGCTCTTTTATTCTCTGGTAAAACATTCTCACCGTTTGGCCAATATAAAATTTTGGGCAACAACCACAAGTCAGCTCATATGTTTCTCATAATTGTTTATAATTAATTTGTCTAAATCATTATTTGTTCGGTAAGCCACGTCCAAGTCTTTTCTTTTTAACGAGAGATATTATTGGTCTGTCCACCAAAATATGTCAATATCCTATGACGCTTATAATCGTTTCTTGAAGTCAGATAAACCTGGTTCATGACTTGTTTTCGTAGTTTTTTGGAAAGAATGGAGTCCTTGTGGTCTGAGGCCAAATATTGAAAACCTGTACATGTACATGTAGAGACATGTACTGTCTACATTCTACATATCATGATCCAGTGACCTGTGTAAACAAAGTAAATGTGATCAAACAATTATTTGGTATCATACTTTGGTATACTTGCTTGAAATGGGGCAATTCTGGTGGATATTGCCAGAAGTCTGAAAACTCTTTTCCAGTGTTTGGTTGAATAATGGAAGGTTCCAGCTGCGAGGCAGTCAGAAATTTCATTTATCTTCCTGGCCATGAATTCAGAGCATAGATAATTTGTTAAATCTTCATGTTTAGTGAAACGCTGCAGTGTTGTGAACAATTTTGTGAAAAATTACAATACACGTATGTTGAATAAGTTCATCATGGAAAATTAATGTCATTGCTAGTTTCAGTACAGGTATGTTGATTATGTTTCACACAGAAAACTATTTCATGGCAAACACATTATCGTTGTTCACACACCCCAGACCGGGGATTTTATGAAGAAAATTGATATACGCTTGATGCTTGATGTATGTTGTCACATCATTAATAATTGTCGCTAAAACATAAATAACTACACATAGTTCTGGCCATTAAAAATGCAGTAACGATGTTATTAAAGTAGCCTTGTTTGTGTTATCGCTTTTCATGAAAAATTCTCTTTTGTCGGTGCTGACCCCAGTGCCATAATTAATGGTCGATATGCCGTCCTCTTGATTTAACTATTCATGCATCAACAACTTTGAATGACGTTTTCGATAGAAGTTTTTGTAAAACAAACTGTTCATCGGAATCAACTTATCTAGTGTGCTAAATAAATTGTTGGTTTCAAATTTTTATTTTGTGAGATTAATGACATTTATCAGGAGCTTGCATACCAGCATGTCGTAGTAGTCTGAAGCAACTACTAAATGAATATAACAATCAGATTATTTCATTTTCTCAAATTATGATCATCCTACCTTGAAGTCATTCTCAATATCCCTTCATTCTAATCTAAGGCTTATCTGATATACTTCATTATTTATATCACTTGTGCGATGTTATGTTTGAAATTGAACGGTTGATAGCTTTGATGAAACTGATAGTGAGAAATGTGAAGTACTTGACATAGGTAATTTATGGTTTCTTTTTGTCAATATTCAACAAAGATATTTTTTATTCGAAAATCGGTAACAGTCAGAAAACAAATTTGAAATAAAGTGCAGCAGCAATTATGAGACCCGACCTGTTCAAACTTTTTTGGTCGGGGAAGGATAATGAAAGCACATACACGTTGACAATATAATTCAAACCCTTTGAAAGTGAATTTCAATTTTCTGATATTTCCATTTTTTCTGAATAATTGAAATGAAGTTCCACAAACAGAAGGATTATATGGCAGACAAATGCCTTATTCATTAGTATATGCCATCTTGATTAGTATAATAAACTGAAAAATTCATCACACTCTGCAGCTATATTGCTTGTTGCCAAAGCTATCGAAGAATTTGAAAATACCCAATTTATCCGTCCAAGGTTCTGAAACTCCATTAGAACTTTTAACTGGTACACTAGGTTAGGTGCAAAGTGAGTGGATCTATTCGACCCTCCACCGCAACCCGCAAGGGTTTATTGTGGTTTACACGTATTCATACCCGACCAAATTAACCCAGCTACTTAACGAAGCCGATTAGTTTGTATGGTGAGTGGTCTTTCAGGTCAGATGGTAAGAGTACGGCTCTGCCGAACTTTAAAAACCTTATTCGGTCACAAGCGGGGCAGGCACAAAGTATGTGCTCTGCTGTTCCATTATTTTCCAAACAGAGGCGACACACACTGTCCTCTGACAGTCCGAGTGTCTGCAAATGCTGATTAAAATGACAGTGACCTGTAAGAAGGCCTGTTAGACATCGTAGTTCATCTCTACTGTAGTCCAACAACTATTTGGTATCAAGCTTCGAAGGGTGAATAAACGCCTTGGAGTGAGCCAACTCTGGAATTTTCTGCCAGAAGTGTAAACATCTTTTTGCCAATCTTGTTCAATCTTTGTTTGACAAAGCTGACACTACACTATACTCTGCTGCAAAAATCGAGTATTACAATATCCGAATAGATGTTGAGAGTGATGGTGGTGATAGACGGTTCAACTCACAGGTAGATGCAACTTCTTGTCCAGATATGGCGTTATTCAAAAGATTTAGGAAAACCTGGAAAAAACTCAACTAGTAGCAATGGATTGTCTGAAGATGTCCATTTTTTCAACTAGGCTTGAAATGTTTCGGCACTATCTTTTTCAACAATAACTTTCGTTGATGATTGATTTGATAAATACATTTCTTAGTGAACTTAATATGAAACTTGGAATTTTGTTTTCTGCTGCTTGTAAGTCGCCTTACTTGTTTATTTCTTTGAAGCATTGGAAAAACACTGGAACACTGCACGTTATTTTTTTCTCTTCGTGTCATGAATGGACGGCAAAATGTTCTGCCTATAAGATACACTCATATAAAGACTAATTTCAGTATCTCATATAGAGAATAAATGCTTTTCAGAAAGTGTCTGTTATTTTTGCCAATTGTATGAGTCTTGTTATTATTTGGTGTGTCAGAATATTGAAAATTAACCTGAAAATATACAAAAAAAAACTAATTAAAACACTTTATTGTATGGTTTTCACTATAAAGAGTTTTACAGTTTAAATTTTACGCCTCTGAGAAAGCTATTGTATAGCGAAACACGTGTCGCGGTTTTTGTAAAACCCTTCATAGTGAAAACCATACAATGAAGTGTATTAATTAGTTTTAATATGAATTTTCTTCAAGTATCGGCCAGTTCTATTCAAATACTAAAAATATACTTGGAACCGACCCTTTCTGTACC